TTGAGAGTGTTTAAGTCAACAGCAATGCCACCAGGAGGCTAGACTCTTTCATTAGTCTGGTATCATTCGAGGGTCACACAAAGCAGAATGGTCAAAGCTGAGACAAAATATTAAGCGGCATTTGCCCTCTTCAGGAGTACCTGTCACTTCAACAGAAGAAATTGATATCTCTTACAGTGATGGGGGCAGAGAAACTCATGAAGGGCAAGAACTGGGCAGCAGTGGTAATTGAAGGCAGAGGATCATTTACAGACAATGGCAGAAACACTGGAGCTAATTCTGGTTAGTGTTGTGCAGAAGGCAGCAGCAAACCCCATCTGAATTTTCTTATTTTGAAAACCCTATGTTGAAATAACCTAAAATGAAGAGCAAAGGACAAGTATGAATAACACTGTTGCTAAGGTCACAACAAGATCAAAGCCGAAAGGAAATCTAGAGGCTGACATGCACAGAGGTGAAAGTCCAGTACTGTACGACACATACAGTTGGAACACAAGAAATAAGAAATTACTTTCTTAAGAAAGAAAGAGAGAGAGAGAGAGAGACAGAGACAGAGAGAGAGACAGAGAGATGAATCAAGGCAAACTGGAAACAGTAAAGCAAGAAATGAAATGGTTAAACTTCACAGTGTCTGGTGTGAATGAACTAAATGTGACAATTTCAGTCAGGCAAACACAACAGTGTTTTACGCTGGAAATGACAAACTCCGGAGAAATGCAGTGAGGCAATATGCAGCAAATGAAGTAAGGGATGATAACACAAAGTCCAACCAGATCATATCAGTCAGAATTTATGAAAAACCTATTAACATAACCATAATTCAAGTTGGTGCTCCAGCAGCAGATGTTGAAAAAGAAAGAAGAAATCAAGAACTTTTACGCAGGCTTTCAAGAGGAAATTAATAACACATCAAAACAAGGCATGCAGATAAACACGGATAACTGGAATCCAAAAGTAAAAACAAAGCAGAATCCAATGTTATAGGAAATTTTAGTTGAGTGGTATGAAATGAAACAGGAGAATGACTCATAGAAGCTGATATATAGGACTATTTACATGGACATCACAAGTTGACCAAGCTAGAAATCAAATAGACAATGGAACTAGATGATGGAGAAGCTGTAATCTTACTGCCAAAACAAGCCCAGGAGCAGGTTGTGGTAGTGACCATGAACTCAGATATCAGAACATAGTGCCAAAAATCCCTGAGGAATTTAAAGCCCTCATAGAACAGATTCGCTTTATTGAACTCAATTGACCATGAACCAGCAGAAATGAAACCAAATACATTTTTAGAGAAGAATGCAAAAAGACCATCCTGAGACTCATTGTAATAGGATGGGATAGAAAAGCTATAAAAGAATGAATGGGCAATTCCTGTACAAAAAAGAAAAGGCCTAGATCATGGGTCCTCAAACTACGACCCAGGGGCCGGATCTGGCCCTCCGTGCCCATTTATCTGGCCTGCCATGGCCATTTGGACCTGCACAGGGAGGCAGCGGTTTCCAAAATGATCTCCAAGCAAGCAAGCTGCTGCCTCGTGCGCCTGTCTCGTGACACGTGCCCACCCCCACCTCCCCTCCCCTCATCGCATGTGCCCACATGCCCCTCACCTTGACTCGCCATGCGCTCTGCCCCCACCTAAGTGCGTGCGCCTGCACGCACTGCCCCCACCCCCTTGCCGACCCTCACGTATCACTGGCACCTTTCAACTGGCCCCCTGGTGTAAAAGTTTGAGGACTCCTGGCCTAGATGAATGACAGAAGAAACACCCACAATTTCCTGAAGGTGGGAGAGTAGCAAAAGGCAACAGAAACAGAAGCCTGAATGCAACTTTTGAGTGACTATCATACAGAGACAAAAATAATTATTACAATGACCAGTGCAAAGAAATTGAAGAAAACAATGGAAGAGGAAAACCTTGAGACCTCTTCGAGAAAATCCAAGAAATCAAAGGGAAATTCAAACCTAGAGCAGGAGTGCGGAAAAAGCCAAAGGGGAACATATTATCTGACTAGGAGAAAATAAAGAGAAGATAGAAACAATATATAGAACTGTACAAAAGAGATAAAATGATGACATGCTCCTACAGAGAGGAATCTTATGAGGAAGAGCCTTATTATGTTCGTAACTCAGTGTATTTTTTGTATTTTTGTATTTAATGGTAATTTATTATGTTCTATTGTATTTCAATGTATTTTATTGTGTTGTAAGCCGCCCCGAGGCTTCGGCAAGGGGCGGCATAGAAATGTAATAATAATAATAATAATAATAATAATAATAATAATAATAATGATGATGATGATGTTAGAAAGTGAAGAAGCTGCTCTGAAAACACTTGGAAAGAATGAAACACCTGGAGTAGATCGGATACCAATAGAAGCATTCTAAGCTGCAGAGAATGAATTTGCCCAAATCCTAACAAAACTATGCCAATGAATATGGAGAACAAGCAGTAGCCTACAGATTGGAAATGTTCAAGTCCCAAAGAAAGGAAATTCAAAGGCCTGCAGTAACTGTAGGACCATTGCATTCATTTCCTGTTCAAGCAAAGTGATGCTGAAGGTGTTGCAACAAGGATTTTACCACATAAAGAGTGAGAAATGCCTGAAATTCATGCTGGATTCTGAAAAGGAAGAGGTGCTCATGATCATATCGCAAATATACATTGGCTGTTGAAACACCAAACAATTTAAGAAGATCAGTCTGTGCTTATAGACTACAGCAAAATCTTTGACTCTGTGGATTACAAGAAGCTATGAATGTTCCTGATGGATGTGCTTCAGCAATTGATTATCCTGATGCAAAAGCTGTATAATGGCCAAGAAGCTACTGTTGGAATCAGAAGCATCAGACAAGTGTCTGTTTTATCTCCCCAATATATCATAAAGGAGAGATGAATCAGAGGAAAAAAGAATTAAAATTAGTAGAAGATACATCAACAATTTAAGATATACAGATGATACCATCTTATTGGCAGAAAGCAGCAATGAACTGAAACAATTCCTGATGGAAAGTGAAAGAAGAAAGTGCAAAAGCAGGACTGCAGCTGAGCACTAAGAAAACAAAAATAATTACTTTGGAAGAATTATACAACCTTACTGTCAGCCATGGATAAATTAGAATTATGAAAGATTTTGCGTACCTTGACCCAGTCATCAATTCAAAGGGAGACTACAGCCAAGAAATTACGAGAAGTCTGAGACTTGGAAGGGCAATTGTGGAGAAACTAGAAAAGAACCTCAAGTGTAAGGCTGTTACACTGGAGACCAAAGGCACGATCATCCAAACTATTGTATTCCTGATAATTATACATGGGTGTGAAAACTGGAAAGCTGACAGAAAAAAATGATACATTTGAAACAAGCTGGAGGAGATCTTTGCAAGTACCCTGGACCAATGGGTGCTTTATCAAATCAAGCCAGAATCATCCCTGAAAGTAAGGAATATGAAACTGAAGCTGTTGTATTTTGGACTCATAAAGAGTGGGCAAATACTCTTTAGAGAAGACAATCATGCTTGGGAAAGTTGAAGACAGAAGAGGAAGACCAATTATTGGATGAATTGACTGCATAAAAGAAGCCACAGCCTTGAGTTTACAAGAGCTACGAAGGACAGGACATTTGGAGGGTGTTCTTTCATAGAGGCAACATAAGATGGAGGTGACTTGATGACACATAACACTGGAACTGAAATATTTGCTTCGGGGGAGTTAAATTAGTGTTAAATATTATTTATATTCGGGCCCACTCAAATCTTTCAGTACAAATCCTTTTATTGGAATATTTGTAAAACTAACCAGTAGCAAATATCTAACAAAAAGTGACTACACATGAAAGAACACAATTTTGGGATATATACCTAACAAGAGCTGATATATCTTAAATCAGCCCTTTAATTTTCTTTTGCTGAGGTAACTGTAGCATCCTCTGCTCTGCTTATCTGTTCAGTTCACACCTATGTGAACAGTGTATTTCATTAAAGGATGAATGTGGGTCTGTGAGTACAGATTGGGAAGGAGAGTGCTCCTGCACTCATGTCCTGCTTGTGGGTTCCTATAAGCAACTGGTTGGCTACTCTGCGAGCTGAATGTTGGACTAGATGGGCCCTGAGTCTGATACAACATGGTTCCTGTGTTCTTAACGGAAACAAACAGTTAACATAGTACTAGTTTCAGTTTTACTTCAACATTAGCAATTATGAGTGAATATGTCATACATAAGTCAGGTCCAGACTGATCCAGGAAACAGTTGCACTCTGCACAGGAGAGGTTGCCATACCTTATTTCTCACTTCCATGATGAACAGCCAGGAAGGGGTGGAAACTAGGAATGGATTTTGTGGGAAATGACAGTGTGCCTATTTGCCCATGGGCTGCAAATATGCCTAGAAGCACACTGTTCATTTTAGTAGTAAGCATATGTCCACTTCCCCTAGCCACCATTTTTCAGCTGGCTCCAGCTGGTAGAATTCCTGACTCTAGTAAAAAGTGAAGCCTTTTAAGAACTGTTTGTAGAACTTTTGGATATTTGCTTTTGGTTTCACTTTTGTTTTTGTGTGTTGTGTTGTATTTTCCCTTTGCCACTAGTTTTATGTTGCTATTTTAATTATTGTTTATATTTTATATTTACTTCTACAGTGTCCAGAGAATTCGAGTTTTTGTCAGTGTAAAACATGAAATAAGCCAAGCGTGGGCAGGAACTGCCTTATTTAAGTGACTAGAAGCAATTTATAATAGCCCCAGTGTAACTCATGATGTCATACTGAAAGATAAGCAAATATATGTGCACATAAGTATTTCCTTTAAGCACATAAGATCCTTGCTGGCTTAAATCAAAGTCTATCTAGTCTAGTATGCTGTTTTCCACAGTGTCCAAGTCCAACCAGATCTTCCATGAGTGTGGAAGCAGACCATGAATGCAATAATCCTCCGCTAGTTTGGTGGTAGGTTTTATTAGTAGACCTATGGAGATTAATTGGTTCTTATTGTTATCTTTTCAGGTTTTTAATACATACTCTAATGAAGACTATGACAGGAGAAATGATGAGGTCGATCCAGTGGCTGCATCAGCAGAGTATGAACTGGAAAAACGTGTAGAGAAGCTTGAGCTTTTCCCAGTAGAACTTGAAAAAGGTAATGCAATCTACAAGTGCTTTGCTGCAGGACTTTTGAAATATATAAAGGACTGCTCAGACATATAGTAGAATTATAGCACTTTCCTAAAATGATTCCCTATGCATCCCTGTTAGGAAGAACTTTCTGTAGAATGACAGTGTGTAGATTTTAAGCTTTTTCAGCATATTTATCATAAGCTAAAATTTTGTGGAAATTTTTACTCAAATTGAGAAAGAATAGGACCAGCAATATTGTTTAAGTTGGAAAATTTTTGATCCAATGCCCTTCTCTTTGCTTATCTGCTTCTCAGATGAAGATGGTCTTGGCATCAGCATTATTGGAATGGGAGTTGGAGCAGACGCAGGCCTTGAAAAACTGGGCATATTTGTCAAAACAGTAACAGAAGGTGGAGCAGCAGAAAGAGATGGCAGGTGAGTAAACATTCAGTATGCAATTATGATCATGATTGTGATTGTTTTAAAATACAAATTCTGGGCATATTTTGGGCATGTTTTTATCTGAAAACTTGGAGACACATCCAGATTCCTAGCATGGATTTCTAAAATGTAAAAACTACTCAAACTTTGAATAGTCCTCAACATTTGTCACATATTGTTGTTGTTTGATAAACTGCTATATTAAATGAATGGTAAATAAGCTAGCCCTAAGACAGGAACAGAATGACAAGTGTGCATTGTTCAGGAGTGACCCTTTTGGCTTCACCACACATCTGGATTTTAGTACAGGCCTGAAGTCTATGCTGAGATTCAATCAGATAGGCCTTTTATCCGAACAGTCAACAATGTTCTTATGATGCAAAGGCTTCAAAGTGATTATCTCAGACTCCAGGATTGGATGAAAGCATGCTGGAGTATGCATTATCAGATATCACAGATAGCATCATGTCTGGAGACCAATGATGAATGAAAGGATATCACATGGGTCTAGAAAGAGAGGGCAAGACCCAAGGTGAAGTAGCTTAGAATTCACTGATTACATCATAAGAGTATCAAAACAGTTAGGCTATTTTCCCATAATAACCAGAAGAGTTTTACTGAATCTATAGCAAACAATGATTGTACATTGTCAGTGAATTATTGAGGCCCAATGTTTATACAGATACCTAGATATAAATGAATATACTAAATTGTAAGGCTGTGAAATACTTCTTTATTCAGGAGTGAAACAGAACAGATCTGTGAGATACCAGGCAACCTTACCCTCCTGCAAATCACCTAGTTGAAATGTTCTCCAGTCTCAGTAAACTGCAGCCCAAGGGAATAAAAGGAACATGGTCTTGGTCACCAGAAGTGCATCCCCCATGAATCTGTGAACTGTGTGTTCTTATGTTCCCCCTTTCCAAATCTGTATATGTGTGTACATCGTGAAAAGCTACTGGGGAATGGGAGGCCTACGTGGCCCCCATATCCCCCATCCAACCCTCCCTTTCATGCTGGTGGAAGTCTGTTGGGTGGCCAAGCAGGAGTAACACCTTGTAAAGGAGACTGGACAAGGATATGGGAGGCATGTATAGACCTCCTAATAGATCATCACATGATGTACATGTCTACATGTGTGCCTGTGGAAAGGGAAAGGGGATCCTCACTGCATTGGTTTTATGTCTAGAGTGGACTAGAATTATGTCCCAGTTGTGTGCTTTTCACAGAGAACAGGATGAATGTTAAGAACTCTTATGCAAAAACGCATAATGATTTTCATTTTTGTAATGAAAGAAAGTAATTATGCCCATGTTCTGACTAATACAATGAAACATGAAATTTAATTTCTTATGTTAAAGACCTGTCTCTGTAACTTTTATATAAAGCACAACCATGGACTGTATTCAATTCACTCCTGAATAAATGCCTCCCTGTATCAGCAAGGATTGCAGATTTACAGAAAATTCCAGCTATCTGGCTAAAGATAAAATGCAGAAAAAAAATCTTTTTAAAGCATTGACTCTCTTAAAGTGCTTCACCCCTCTCCCCCAACAGTAGCAGTATAATTAGATTTTAGCTGCCTAGGCGTACTTGGATACGAAAATATCTTCCTTATTCAGTGCCTACAAAAAAAAAACAATCATGGTAGAAGAAATGATGCCAATCTACCCAATGATTTCCAAAAATGAGTCAAACAGGAGGAAGGCATTAACAAGTAGGAAAGCAGAACTGAAAATAACTCCTTGAAATTCAATTCTGAATTAATAGTTTTTCAGGGACCGTTTTTTGTCTTCAGGTTCTTTTCAAGTATTTTCAGTGTTTAAAGTGAATTATATTTTATGACACAGTTTGGAAAAAGCCTAAATAATATTCTTATACTCTTGTTTTAACTTTTATATTTAAAGACACACACACACAAACACACTAACCAGCCCAGAAAATGTTGGGCACAAACCGGTGAGAAACTCTACTGCCCAGATGTTTCATGAGTGCACTGTATATACTTTTTGTTGCTGCTATTCATTTCACTGGGGTTTGCAGAAGAGACTTTCCTGGTATATTGTGCCCAATAACCTTAATATATTAACAGTTAGGAATCTCATTTCTTTTGTACAATAATTTGGGAAATGAAGTGGTAAAAAGGAAGTTGACAAGGAAGATCAAATACCTCCTTTTGTAACTGGAAAAACGTGTCTCGTTCTGATAGTTCTTGAAACATGTTTGCCTATTGAAGAACTGATTTTCAAAATATTAGATAAAAATGAGCTACCTAGAATTGTGTGTGCATAAACTTATGGATACTGTACATCAGGAGCTAATAGGACAACGCTAACAAGCTGCCCCAAGATGTTTGTAGTGGGCAGATTAGAAAAGTTTTTAGTAAGTAAATAAATAAATAAATAACCTACTTATGCAATCACTTATTTTCCATGCAAACAATTTGTTCAATGAATAACAAAAACAGATTCCGTGTGATGGAATATGCTGCATCAGGAGTGGATAAGAGAAAACCTATTTTGAAAATTAATGCCAAATGTATGGATCTGCATAAAAATAGTGCAACCATATTCCCTTGGAAGGTAGTAACCATAAGATGCATGACTTCATACATTTGTAAAACATACATATGTTCATAGGATAGGCAGCATCTTATTATAGAGCACCTGGCCTCAAAAAATTAAAAGATGAAGATTACTTCCCAACTGGAAAGGAAAACAATGGAGATGAGAGAATGAAGCAGCATAAACAACATGGATTACAGTTACTTGTTTGTCTGCTGATTTTTGTTACACAAAATTATAGGGTTCAAAGGCACATGAAAGTCATCCAGTCTAGCTCCCTTCCCTGAGGCAAGATTGTGCACAAATTAACCCCCTTACAGATGAACCACAGTAACCAGATTATACAGTACCAGAAGCAATGATAGGAGTGAATAAGGCACACCCTGCCACATGCAAGCAGTAGTTTAATAAAACAGCTAAAACCAAGTGACTTTACAGTTTTGGAGGCATATGGAATATAAATGTAATAGCCAGCTCTATTTTACAGTCTTTGGTTTGATTGACATAAGGTTCCCAAGTACAGAGCTGGTTATGTGGTTATTGCAATTATCACATTTAAAAATAGTTGTCTCTTTAGATTTCTGGTTATTTCATCTCAGCCAACTAGGTTGATTTCTGACCTAGAAGAAGGAAGTTTAATGAAGTATGTCATAAGGGGAAAATTTGCCATTCGCTCCCGTTGACACTTGTGCTTAATGGAAAGCCTCTTTCCAGAGGGTCAGGGAACTTGCCTGGAGAGAATGTGGTTTGGTGATTCAGGCATGGTTTGGGGCAATTCCCCTACTGTCTTCAGAGGTCCCAGGAAGGATTATGTAGAAACAGTGGGTTGGGAAACTGTCCTCCTATTAAATTCCTGTAGGGCATAATCCTATGCAAGTCTAGATAGAAAAGCTTTCTGTCTAAAGTAGCATAGGGTTGTGCTTAAATTAACATATTAGGATCTAGGCTTCCATTCCATAAGGTTATTGATATTATTGTTATTACGGCATTTAATAATAAAACTCGTGACAAATGAAGTAAGTTGACATTTTGTTTTTGGTGCTCTTAAACATAATCTTTGGGATTGACAAACCAGACCATGGGAGAAAATTCATTTTGGAGGACATTTTAAAGGGCTTGAAGATTATTCCCCAGAATACAAGCAGCTACTGAGTTGATTTAATGACTTGTATCGCATAAATTTGCTGAACATACGATTCTGGCATACTTGCTCTGGATACTAATGTTCAAGAAAGACTGCTTTTTAAAAATACTTTGATTAGAATACCAAGTAAGAGAACTAGTGTAGCAGAGCAAGGGAACTGTGAATCTGGTTTGACTCTCACCCCTGCTGTGAGCTCACCAGGTGGCTTTAGGCAAGCCTCTGATACAGTTTGTATGATCACCTCTGATCTGGTTTGCTTAAGTCATGGTGGTCTGTGGCACTGCAGAATACGAATCTCTTCCTTTACTGTTTTAACAGTCACGTAATACAGTGTAGTTTAATATTACCTTTAATGCAAGCGTGCAGCATGCAACCCGAAATTTGTTTGGGTCTCCCTATGTACAGATCTTGACATGGGGCTTTCTCAGAGCTTGTTCTGCAGCAACTACCAACAGCTGAAGTGACAGGCCACTTTTTTTCTTTGCAACAGCTTGTTGTGGCAAGTAGTTAAAAGAAGACCCTGGCTGCATTGTATTGTTCCTATTTTTGTAAATAGCTCTTTTTTACAGTGCTCACCATCTATAATATAGGAGCTCAGGTCTATTTTGATTATAAGTAACTTGGGTGAAGACTGTGTTACTATCCTGTACATTTTTGGCATGTCTTTTGCATTATTAGTACTTAGTTCATAATTGAGCAAGTGCAAAATGAATGTTTAATCCTGGTGTAAACCAGGAAAGATATTATTTTACAAATTTATTCTGTATGCTTGCTGCACAAAAGAAAACTTTCGTATTAACTACAGTATCCAGAATCCAGAAAGTTCCGCCTTTCATTTAAAATCACAATGATCTCAGGTCTTATCTTCATTCTTCTCATTTCATCTTCCTTGCTCATTAGTATGATCATGTTCTGCCCCTTCCTTTCTCTCTGTGTGCTGGTTCATTTTAAAATCACACCATGTTCATTTATATAAATTCCACTTCCTATTTTTAAAGCCTTCCACTCTGCTCTTTTGCTTATGTTTTCTTTTTAAATTTCTCTTCAGAAACTTTCCTTAGAACCTTGTACCAGAATTTACACTTAATGGGTTGTATGCAAAGTCAGTCCTTCTTAGGGCTTTCCCTCTGAAAATAATGGGTCTTAAATTAAAGTAGCATTAGATGGAACCCAGTGTCTCATGCTTCTGTCCATGCTTCTGTCCGTTTTCTTTGCCTCCCAATATTTGCATAATCCAGTTCATCCTCTTCAAGAAACACACCAAGCTATATTTTTCTTTTGTGCTGTCTTTCCTTATCTTTTCCTCACATTTAGTAAGCTGCTTAGACTGTGAGCAAGGTTTTGTTCTTATTAATTCTTTGCTTCCATACTGTGGAATGCTTTGCTTTCTTAAGTCATAGTAATTGTCATTGTTATCACCAGCTGTAGTGAAAAACTGAAGATGTAAAAGAGCTCTTTTAGTCATGTCCAGTGGGATTTGTCACTTTGCCTTGCACAAAAAGTCTCTTCAAAGTCTCTTGCACAAAAAGTTGCTTCAAATGTGACTTGCCATGTGGAACAGAGAATTGCATGGATGCCTGGAATGGGTTGTACTGCCCAGCCACAAGCAGTTCAGTGACAAAATTGTACAAACCAGAGGGAAGCTGGGTAAGACGCTTTGCGAATAAGGATGCAACTGAATACCATATAGTGTTCTGCTTCCTCTGCTGCCCCACCATACAGAAACACTTTTTTGTGGTTTTTGACCCTTGGTTCTTGCCTACATGCACAAAAGCAGAATTTGGATTTTTATTTATTTATTTGTTTGTTTGTTTCAGGGATAGAGAAGTTGTGGTCCTTCAGATGTTATCAGAGGTTATTGATCCGTCAGCCCAGCCTGTGTACTCAAGAGTCAAGAATGATGGCAGCTGTAGTCCAGTGACATCTGGAGGGCCACAAAATCCCCATCCCTGATTTAATGGTCCAGAGTTCATACACCTATATTTAGGAAGTGGCAGAAGTAGAACATTTTGTATTCTGACTCCCCATCATAACAAGAGGGAAAGCTAGTTCAAAAATGTGTGTCTTGAATTCAGAAGGTAATTTCTGCCCTGAAACAATGTAGCTGCACTCCATGCATCTTAAGTAGATTACAAGATGTATACATTTGTAACTGAATAAGTTATTTATTCCTTCTAATTTGCATTTTTAACAAAAGGTTGCTGCTGGCTTTTTAATCTGTTTCTTGAACATCTATCACTTAGATTTTGTCCATTCTTTTTATTCTCCCTGAAAGGATCCAAGTAAACGACCAAATTGTAGAAGTAGATGGGATCAGTCTGGTCGGTGTCACACAAAATTTTGCTGCGACTGTTCTCAGAAATACCAAAGGAAAAGTCAGGTAACTTTGCAACATCCTTATGGAGAACTTTTAAAATCTGGTACACTTGCAATATTGTCTGATAATTCAAATGCTGGATTGTAAGTAGACAGATTGAAAACACATTTATGATCACAGCTGTCTTAGTCACAGTAGATCACGTCCATCAATGAGAAGGCTCAAGGGGAGGAAAATAATCAAGGGGAGCCCAGCGGTTTCTCAGAGGTCTTTTTCCATGAAGTTGAATTCAGATGGGTGCCATCTGCATCCATTTGATTTGAGAATGCTGGGCATAATTCGGTTGGTTGTTACTTTCTATTGTCAGATGTGCTTAATATAAGGATCTCTCATTTCTGCTTTTTTCCTTTTAGGAGACTCACATTTCTGTAAGCTCCTAGGCTGTCATTTGTAGTCATCTTAAGAATGCAGAGCTTTCTCAGTAAAACCAACTGCATAAGTTAGTGTCAGAATTAGGTAGTAATATTCAAAAGCCAGTTTGCATATTTTTACAAAAATTCTTATCCCAGAAATGCATACTTTGATTAAAGGTTCTTATACCCTAATTTTATGAATGGTGATACTGCATGTTATTTATTCTGGTATAGCCTTCTATGTGCATTTCCTTTATCATCTAACAGCCACTTGAGTCCCCATATATTACTGGCATAATTTGACACATAGTAAAACATAGAAACTTGTGGGCTTAATGGACAAGGGAGCTGTTTCTTGCTCTTTTGAACTTCTTAGTTTAAACTTCAAGTTTATTTATTTATTTAAAATAACTTTACCTACATTTCTGTTTTAAAAAGCCTTCAAGTGTTTTACAAGAAAACTCCATCTCTCCTGGACTTAAAAAAGCCTTGCCCAGTCTAGACAACCCTATCAGCAAAATCCTACATTCAAGTAGAAGACACAAAGAACAATAACATGGATCATTCATTTATTTGTTAACCCTCACAAACTGATGGGTTTAGAGTAGTTTACAACCATGTCGTCTGTATCCAAAGCCCTATTCAGATATAAGGGTCACACATACAGCATCAATACTTACGTCCTTGCTAATACCCTCTTGATTCTGACCTTGATAATAGAGCTGCAAGGTCCAAACAGGAATTCTGCTTAGATTAATTTGATTGCAAATATAGTTTCCCAATGTGAGCAAGTGTCTTGCTAAAACTGACACCTTGAAAAGGACTCAAAGGTCTGGATAGTCCATCAAATGCTCAAGAAAATAGCCAAGAGAATCAAACCAGTCTGCTCCCAAAAAGTCGGCACCGTATGAGTTTGCCTGTGGAGCAAGGTGCCAGCACAGGAAAGATTCTATTCTCAGATGTCACTTACCTGATGCTAGAAAATGGGCCTTTGCAGAAAGTGACCTCAGTGAATGAGCAGTTTCATATGTTACAACTTAGAATTTATTGTAACTGGGAGGGAACCAGCTGCCAATAAAGATCTTTTAGCACTAGTGAAATAAGTTATATTTGATAAACCTTAGTGAATAACCTGGCTGCTATATTTTGGACTAGATGTTGTTTTTAGATGGACAGCGTCATGAACAGCACTTTGCAGTAGTCTAGACTGGTTACCTAGGCAGGACTATTTTAAGTCCAGGAGAGATGCAGTTTTATTGTAAACTACTTAAGGTTGTGAGGGTATGTTCAGCTACATTTCATGCAGCTGTACTTCATAAAATGTGTGGGAAAAGTAAATGCCTTCAGTGAAAGCATCTCTCAGCTTTGGAAGGTAAATTTTCTCCCTTGGCAATAATTTTTATGTCTAGTATTTTTAGCTGAAACATGAGCATTTATGGCACTTTCAGATATCTGTGCAAGCAGGATTTGAAATGCAGGAATTGATGTTTGCTACTGAAATGGTTAAAAAAGAAAGATGGATTGAAAATAAAACAGCAAGGATAATAATGCTACTAAATAAATAAATTGTGTGCCCACATTTCATATGTTGCATGCACTTCTGGTTTCCAAAGTTATTGCCTAGCAGGAGAAGACAATTAAAATGATTGGGACAGTGGAGTTGAAGGGTTTGTTTGTTTGTTTAACAAAAATAACCATAGGGTATGGGAATGTCAGAGTTTTAAAAATCTTAGTGAGGGGACTAAACAGAAAAGAGAGGGAGGTATTTTCTAATTCCCCCACTCCCAAACTCTAAATATACTGTCATCAAATAAAATTGTTTGGCAGGCGATTCAGGACAACCAAAGGGAAGCCCTTTATTACAGGATGTATAATTAGTTTTGGACTGTACTGCTATGCTGTGATGATTGCCATGAGCTTAGGTAGCCTTTATAAAGAGTATCATGGCACATTGGTCTATCAATACCCATATGCCATTATACCTTAATAGTACTTTCATGTTAAAAGGCAGTGTACTGCTCATTACCACACGCCTAAGAAAAACAGAATGGTTTTCCTTACTATTTGCTGTTTTTTGCTTCCTGGAGGAATCTGTCTAGTTATTGCAGCAGCAGAATATTTGCTTTGATGGATCTTTGATTTGGTCTAGCAGATTAATTCTAATAGTTTCATGCTTTCTGATTTGCAGCTTGGGCTTGTAAGATTCTGTGCTGATTCTTGGAGTAGTAAGTGTTTTGGCCTTCCAAGCTGAGCTACAAGAGTATTACAAAACAAAATAAAACAGCACAACACAAAACAGGATTATCTAAATTTCCAAGGAACGTGTCCATTGTTATTGTAACCTATAGGTTAGCTATATATAATAACACTGCACAGTGAACATTGTACTCAATGCTTTTTAACTCCACTCCAGTGTTCTAAGTCTTCACACTGCTTAATAGGCATAAAGTGACAACTATAAGTCAACTGTATAGCTGCAACCTCTTTATAGGAAAGGTGTTCTCTGAGGATCAATCTCCCTTGCCTTCACCCTGTTGGATTCAGTTACTCCCATAGCAATGCAGGTAATCAGAGGCCTTAGATTATGCTTAGGAAAATGTCTGGAATAACATTCCTTTCTTCTCCACAGCTGTAGCCAGTGGGGAGAGGTTGTTGGCACCTTAATTAATGCCATTAATGACATAAAATGTGTAGAAGTAAAGGTTTGCTCTTGGTGCAGTGCTTCTTGACCTTCAGGTTCCCACAATGTGCTGCCAGTGGAAATACAAAGTATTCCAGCATCATCACTGACTGGTGGTTGTGAAGATCAGCAAGCAGAAATTCTCCATATTTACTTTGATAGGCATGATCACCCAAGTATTGTGAATACCTACATTTCCATTTCCACTTGGCTCTGTAACCTGCAACATCAAATAAACTCTAAGTAATTTGTTTCTATTAGTACTATTTTCCATTTATATTTTAGAGATGTGTTTTGTGGGCACACTTAATTTCCAGTGTCATTGGTAATTGCCTCCTTAAATGTGCTTTCCTTTTTCTTCTTTACCAAACAGAGATCAAAGGCGTTTCATATATGAGAAATTATATTTGATAAATCATGCAGAAGAAAGTCTTAAAAGAAGTTAAATTGCAGCTTGCTTGTTTGATTTTTCTGTAGTAATTCAGTCAATATCACTTTGGAAAGCCTACATGGTACTACTGTTTAGTGTCTTTGATTCCTGCCAGGCTTCATGAGTGTTTTTGAGTGGTCGTGACAATGGAAGTCAGTGACCTAGAATAGATGCTTCGTTGTAGCTTCCAGATATAATATAGCTCAACTGTCTTCAGCTGACACAGTAAAGAAACAAAACTGTGGCTTTTACCTTCCCTATCCACTCTAGTTTTGTCACAGGAAACTGGCCCAACTTTCTGCATCAAAATATCTTTTCTCCTTTATATGTTAGGTAGAATTAATAAATAAAAGGCTTAGCCTGTTTAACTGGAAATGCTTTTCTTGCAGGCAGCAGCATTTCATACTTTTGAGGAAGATAAAAATTAATGGCATATCTCTTGGATTTCAACTAGGTTATTACAAATTTAAGGTGGTTTTCTGTAAATAGAAATATATTTACACTATATGATATGAGTGGTGAGCCACCATGTCCAGCTCTGTATGGCTTTCAGAGCTGGATATCCTGACCCCAGCATTCTTTCTGAGTTAATTTTCAGTACTGTTTTTGATTAATGCAAAGCTCCTGTGACAGATGGCTTTTGTTTCATCATTCTGCTTTCCATATTTGTTACAGATGTATTATCTCCTAATATAAAGAGTGCATTCTGCTGGTTCGGGTTATATAGTTTGGATTTATTCATTTCTATAAAATTTTCTGTAATAGAATTTATTCTAATTGAATTCATTCCTGAAAAGTGCAAAACATCATTCTATATACACATGTCTTTCCTCCTGCATCTTTGTCGGGTTCCAAATATCATCTGTATTTGTATAGTATTTAGTTAGGTTATTAATCATTAAGCAGACACTCTTCCAGGGCCCTTCATATAAACTGAGCTGTTCTGCCTCAGTATATTTTGTACAGGGTTGTTTAAGATAATCCAGCTTATCATTCTTCCTGAGGTTATCATTAAGTTTCCCCTGTTGTGCCATAAATCTCCTTCCCCATCAAACTATCTTCTGGTGGTTGCACAGAATGCTGTGCTTGCATTCTGCATCTTCTTTATATCAAGGACTTAACTGCTTTCCCCTGAAGCAGTCCTGTTTTCTGTTGCACCAAAATGCTCATTTAATGTGTTTCTTGTTGCCTTGCCAGCTATGAAATCAGAATTAGACCTCTTTCGAGCCCCATGTTTACAGGGCATCGTGCCTTTTAGAGATACCTGATATGCATGGCATTGACAATATCTCCCATAGATATAGTTGGAAATGACGTAGTTTAACCACAATTTAATGCTTAGTTTTTAAAAAGTATTGGAAGCCATTAAGAACTATCTCCAAATGCTCCATGTAGGTTTTCTTTTATTTGGGTGGCCTCTCTCTCTCTCTCTCACACACACACACACACACACGCACACTCACACTCTTTAATGTGTGCATTTGTCTTATTTAGCACATTCACTTTGGGACATACTCTTGCACAGCACCCATTCAGGTCAATAGGATTTACATAAGAACATTTGCTGGTGGACTCTGCCTTTGATCTTCATGTTCCTAAGAGTTTATTATACTTTCTGTCTCTCAATAACATCTTGCCATTACTAAAGTACATATCTAGTTCTAGTGAACCAATAATAAGTATATAATTAGCTGGGTTATTGAAATGTTCTTATTCTTTGGTGGCTACTCTTTCAGGCAGTGATTCAGAACATTAAGCATCTTTTATGCAAGCTTCTATCTGCATAATCAGACCTGGAATATATTTAAATATAGTAGAAATTTGTTCTCTACCAGTACAAATCTATATTTTGAGTGTAAGCTGCTTTAAAGTATTGTTTCTATTGATAGTCTGGAACAAATTGGTCTTCATTATTGAGGCCCCACAGTCAAGCAGGGCCAAATAGGTTTTTACATGTGAGGAAGAGGCTTCTGGAAGAGCAGCCCAGTCTGTTCACTTGAATGGGGCTCCAATGTGGATGTATCTGTTCTTAATTGTTTCAGTAAGAAACAATTTGAGTGAATATATGTTTTGAGAGACAGGGTGCATTCTCTAGTCATGCTGATGCATTCTGTCATTAAGTCTTGGTGAGCTGATCATTGATGGTATGCCCAACCGACAGTTGGGTTTTACCATGGGTTCTTTCCCCCACTTTCCCAGTCTCCAGGAGGACTGAGTTGTCTCCCATCCCTGCTGCAGTTACAAACTGTTTTTGGTTTGTGACATTACTTTCCCCTGAAAACTCTTGTCTCTTTTGCAACTCTCATTTTGACAACCATGGATAGGCCCCAGCAGCACCTTGGAGGGATGATCTGTGGTTGCCAAGCTAGGTTTGGTTTTAACAACTTAATTTTTGCAAACAATTTCTAAGAAATCAGAGTAGGCATTGGGAGCCAGCAAAGGCAGGATGCACTGAGAGCATTCCGTAGACAGACAGTAAAAAGGCGGTTGATGTAGCAGCAGAGCAAAGGATTACAGGATGGGAATTTTCCTGCAAGGTCCCCTGAACACCTGCTTGCAGTGGGGAGAGTGAGTGATTTGGGAACAAACCGTGACAAGGCTTCGAGACGTCTGCCGGCACCATTGTGAGTTACTCAGTGAACAGCCAGCCCACCATGACTCATTTGCAAGGTGGTTTTGCATGACACATGAACCTTCCCATTGTCTTCCTTGTTTTTTATCATGTGAAAAAGGTCTGGTCTCTCATTTGGCAGAACTGATTCAGTTAGTGGGAAGAGAAGCTGCACTTGGAGGCCTGAGGTGTAGAAGAAGGGAAGCGACTGAAAGTTAGTGAGGTTGTGCGTGCATATGTGCATGAGAGAGGGGGAGAGAGGAGGCTGAAGAAACAAATCAGGTTTCCATCTCCCCAGTGTGACTTTATGTTGTAGGATCTTGTTGACCTTTGAGGGACAGGTGTAGTACAAGTGAATATATTGACTGCCATGGATTTCCCCTAGTCTTGTATGTACCCTGTACCTAGTTATTTGGTCTCTGAGTTATTTCAGATGAGGTCAATTCAGATACTTATTTTTCGCATTTGGAAGCCCTCATCAAGGACTGTGCCTGTCCTGTATTGCATTCTTGCCTACTTCTCTCAGACTTCATGTCTGACAAATGACACAACAAAGGGGATGCTCTTGAGGTCTTGGTGTTGCAGATTTACACAGAATCTTAACTGCCCTTGAGGAATTCCAGCACTGGCCTCTCAGATCAAGCAGTCTATCCCATAGCATAGGAAAGTTTCTGAAATTAAGATCTGTGTCTCTCACTCCATGTTCCATGACAGCAAGGTAGGAGACATAAATTAAATAAACCTATGAAGTAATTTTCAAGAAAGTGACCCTCAGTAATTACTAGGTAGTCAGTACATGCAACTCTGTGATATGGTTGTATGTTAACTGCTTCTTCCCAGGTGCATTAGATTTCTGTTTCCATCATTCCCAGCAAGCATGACCAATTAACACCCAGGGGTGGCTGTGCCCATTGTTGTTGATGGGACTTGTAGTCTAACAGATTTGAGAGTGACAAGTTGGGGAAGGCTGCTGTAGAGAGCAGATACAGAAAATGTTTTTCTCTGTAAATTTCTACTAGCTTTCATAGCCTCTTAGTAAAATACAGTTCTCACTTTGAGTCATTTAAAAATCCTTCTTTGCACTTGTGATTTAACAGACTATTGATTGAATTACATGATGTTCCAGTATCCACAAGACTTGCAGCCTGGGTACATTTAGACCCATGTGCCTTCATGAAGGCAAAGGAAAGAAATTGTAGTAGCTATTCCCTCTAAGATAATCCAGGGACAATATAAATGTTCTCAAGAAAATACAGAGAAAATGGCTTTTCTGTAACATTTGCCTGTTAATTCATGCTGTTAAATAATGGGGGAATTATCTGAGCATTCTCGTTGTGGGCAACTAAAGGGTTGGTGGGGGTCCACAGGTTGCTTCAGGTACATGTCATTGCTTCCAGACCGGTACTAGGCTTTTGTTCCTCTGCTGTACTCTGCCCTCCACATGCTGCCTTGGGAACTGCTGCCCTTGGCCTTTGCATTGCACAGCTAGTGTGAAATACATTACAGGAGGATTCTCTTCAGATGGGGGTCCTTAGAAATGGTCCTCTGCTAGGTGTGTGTAGGGCTCCTTGCACGGCCCATTGGATCCAAGCCATAATATGTAATAGCATTTGCTCTGTCCTTTAAAATATCTTTTCTCCTTTGATTTGCTACATAAAGTCACAGATATCTAAGATAAGGGCTATCCTAAGGGCTATCCTACTCCTTTACATATTTATCCGTTTAAATTAAGCCCAAAGCATTTCTAAAGCATTAAGGGGAAGCATATGCATTCGTGTAATAACCTGGAGTGCAAAAATCCAAGTGTCCAATAAGAACCTAAAACTTGGTCTGAAGGCTAATATCTGGGTTTCTGAAAGGGGAAAAATACCATTGTATCTCTTCCCAGTGTGCCTCTTTTTGTAAGCCCAACTGTTGCTTCTTCCTGCTCTTACAGGGAGAACAGGACGTACCAACGAGAAGTTCCCTCCTCTCACTGGTACACTCAGTTCACCTACTCTCCTTCCTAGATAATCCCACCAACCCCTACATTTTTGCAAAATGTATTTACATCATCTGTATTATAACATTTCTGCAATCACATTATTCTGGATCATTAATGACTTCCCAAACCAGTGATAATGAAAACATGCATTCATGGTTTCTAATCAGACTTGCATTCCTCGCAACACAGTCCCAAACAACCATTCACTTACTGTAGATGTAAATCAGTTTATTTGCTTTTGGCATTTATTGTTCTGCATTCATGCTTGTGCCATAATAAACCTGCTACATGAGGTGCTACATGACCTTTTGCTGTATTAGGGCATTTAGTGTATGAGGAGAAGAAGGAAAATGATTTTTGTCCACTGATGTTCTCCTCAGGTTTATAATTGGCAGAGAAAAACCAGGACAAGTAAGTGAAGTGGCTCAGTTGATTAGCCAGACCCTAGAGCAGGAACGGCGCCAGAGAGAACTTTTGGAACAGCATTATGCACAGTATGATGCAGATGATGATGAGGTAACATGTTTGCTCTTCCTCTTGTAACTTCATGGAATTCCCTTTCCTTGTCTACTTGCATTTCACTCTTTCGCTAATTCTTCATCTATTCGCTGTTGGATACTGTCTTTTTGCAGATAAAAAAGCACTCCGCGCTGCATGGCCATAGTCATAGTCATGCTGTGCACTATAAATCTCTCTTTAAAAATGTAAGAGTGTTGTTATTGAAAACTGATCTTTGGGAGTATAGAAAATTCACCATGGAACTGGACAGAAAAATGGCATTCTTGAATTCCAGCCAGGGTCACATGTTGTCCATGATGTCTGTGGTCCCCAGTGCCCTATTGGGCTGCTTTAAGACTCTTGCCAGAAGGCCTGAGAACCCTGCTTAATTTTTTAAAGGTGTGCAATTGACACCATTGCGGACTAGCAGCCAAATGTGATAAATATTTTCAAATGCAGAGGGAGGGGGAGATTCCCAATTTTAAGGCCTTCCATGGGCTGCTTTACATTGATTCGTATGGTGAAATAAAATAGGTAACCTAGGGAGTTCTCTGACATCTTTATGTTAGCCTTGTTAACAGTTCTTCAGTGTGCCAGGCAGATGTTTTTCAGACCTTTACTTTGGGGTTGCCAGGAATTGGACCTGGGATCTTCCGCATGCAGAGCATCTGCCTCACTATTGAGCAATGGCCCTTGTCAGTTTTACATGACGATTGTTCCTTGTGAATGGATACCAGTTGGTATTTATCATGTCAGGAGAGTTTCTTAGTTCCTAAACTTTGGTAAATACCAGCTGTCATCAAATTTCTAGACACATGCATTTTTTTTCTTTAAATACGACCTGCTCTCAGACTTTTTAGGGCTTTATGGGTTGAGTGCTTTAAATTGTGTCTGGAAATAACTAGATTCTCATGCAAATCTTCAAGTGGGCAACTTTAGGAGCCAGGAGGACCCTTTTCACACTCCCAGGGGTCTTACAAATAGCTTGAGTTTGGCCTTTTTAGGCCACTATTGCTGTTTACCACCAAAAGTCAGCAGTGTGCATTTGAAAAGACTCCTCCTGGCTTTTAAAGTTGCCCACTCATGACTTAAAGATCTGTATAAGATTATAGTTATTTCCAGGCACAACTAAAAGTACTTTGCCAGCAAAATGCAGCAAGGAACTGAACAAAGAAGAAAATTACAGGGGCAGCAATAGATGGACATAAAGAACCCATTCTGGATCCAGTGGCCCATATATTCCAGCACTCTGTTCACATGGTAGCAAACTAGCTGTCCACAGGGTCCCTCAAGCAGGATGCGTACAAGTCCTTCTTCTGTCCATTCTTCTCAACAACTCCGTTATGCAGGCATGTCTGCATATACCCAAGGTGGCTAGTAGCCATAGATAACCTCCTCCTCCATGAATTTGTTTTAAAGCCTTCCAGATTGGTGTATCTAAGTCTGGTGATCCACTTATGACCATGGGCTACAGGCTGCCCGTTTTGTTTCAAAGGCTTGTCAACTATGTTTGCTTCTAGTAATCCCCAGTTGATAAAATTCCTGTATAATTCTAGAGCAGAGGAAATTTCCAGACACTTCTGAGAGGCAGCCCCCTTATGTAAACAATTGTATTCCACAAATCAAGTATGGATGTTACCAAAGGAAGAATAACTATGAAATCTCTTGCCAGAAAGGATTGCTGCTAGCACACCAGTGTTGACGGAAAGTGCTTCACATCAGTTAGGACTTCATAAGCCAGGGGTGTGGGCAGCTTGTGGTCCTCCTGACCTTCTGGCTTACAACTTCCCCCAGCCCTAGCTAGCATAGGTGATAAGGTAAAGGTTTCCCCTTGACATTAAGTCCAGTCATGCCTGACTCTAGGGGGCGGTGCTCATCTCCGTTTCCTAGCCGAGGGAGCCACCGTTTTTCCACAGACAGTTTCCGTTGTCATGTGGCCAGCATGACTAAACACCGAGGTGCACGGAATGCTGTTACCTGCCCACCGAAGTGGTACCTTTTTATCTACTTGCATTTGCATGCTTTCGAACAGCAAGGTTGGCAGGAGCTGGGACGGAGCAACGGGCACTCACCCAGTTGTGCAGATTCGAACCAGCGACCTTTTGATCAACCAGCCCAGCAGCACAGTGGTTTAAACCACTGCGCCACCTGCAGTCCCTAGCACAGGTGATAGTAAGCAACAGTTGGAGATTCAGGCCAAATCATCTGGAGGGTCACAGGTTGCCAAGCCTGCCATATCCAAAGCTATATCTAATAGCACCACCAACCTGCTATTAGATCCACCTTTATCTGGTAATACATAATTCATTCTTAGATTGTCACACTGGAAGATAAGAGTTCAAAACTCTTTTCAAACAATACTTTAGAACAGAGATTTTGTCCAAGGGGGAGCCCATGGGGCTTGCTTGCTTCATTCCTCCCTCATTTCTTTCACTGCAGATAGAAATAATTTCTTTTTTGCTCTGCACCTTCTTGCTGAGGTTTAAAAAAAACAAACAGAGTACAGCAGGCAGAAGCAGCTTAAAAACAAGAGATCATTCCTAAAACTCCTCAGTGCAGCAGGTCAGATGCCTGCCACTATAATCCTAGGGATGAAATGCCTGCACAGGCTCAACAGAATAATAATTGTAGAAAATTGTAGAATAAATGCCAACCTGTCCATTCACTGTAGGCTGACTTTTCTGTGCTCATGAAAATGATATGCAAATTACCTTAATTGCATGTTACTAAAAAAAGTGAGTTACCTGAATCCCTCCAACTCTGCAGATAGCATTAGTGATGAAGAAATTAGAGAAACAATATATCTATCCTTTTCTATAATAAAAATCCATAGCTAATTTCTTTTCTGAAACAGTTGTAGAACTTTTAGCTTATAAGTTTAATTTTTATTCCTTTATCCTTGAGAACAAATACTAGTCTTGATGTGAGTTGTACTTCTCTAAATTTTGCTTTTTCTCGTGGAGGATTATGCTGCTTCTGTTTTAAGAGCAGAGTTTGCTAATACACAGAAGTACTGTTATCTGTCCAGGCAGAGGATTACTTTTATCTTCCTGTAATTGGTTTTGAAGGTGGTGCTATGTAAGAAGATGATACAACCATTGCCTCCTCCTCCAACTTTTTTGTTTTTTTTGCAGGCCTGCTATGGATATTGGTTAAAAATGTTATTTGATATCATATTCCCAATTGTATTTTTGCTTGTCATTGAAGATGGAAAACTATGGCATGCTCCAAATACATTTGCTCACTTTTTCATTTTCCAAAAGCTACATGCATCAATTGTTTGCATGCACATCCACTTCTCAGTTTCTGATTCCCTTAATGCACATGGGTTTCTCATAAGGTGGGGGAAGACTGATCTAGAGACTAAGACGTAACTGCTAAGCTGCCTTAAGTTTCTTGAAAGGGAAAAGGGCAGGATATAAATACAATAAATTCATAAATAAGTGAACTGTTCATGTCATTCATATGCAAAATCACAAGTGGTTTTTTGGAACAAAAGCAAGCCAAACATAAGTGGTGGCAAATGCCAGCAAAGCTACCTTGACATCTTCCAGCATATTTCTCTTGAAGGGGAACAAAGGTCTTTGGCACTTTTAACATCCCTCTTTTGGTGAAATCGACAATTCACCATTCCAAGGGACCTGAGTTAGTGCCAATGATGTACTTGGAGGAGGACAATAAAGAAAAATGATTCCATTGGAACCTATTGTGTAAGCCTTTCAGTTCCCATCAGCCTCAGCCTGTATGATCAAGGTGATGGGAGGTGGAGTCTACCAGGTTTCATACTCTTGTTGTAGAGGCTAAACAGATGCATAAGCTTTCTTTGTCATAATATCATTGCATAGAAGAGTTCTTATTTAATGTTTGTTATCAACTGTTTTAGAGTACTGAGAGAGAATTTCATGGAACCTCAGGCAACTTCAGTAAAAATAACAACTGTTACCTTAAAAAGGTTTGTGAAGAAAGTAATTTGTCTCTGATTCACTGCTTCCTATGCTATACTATTTTTAATAGTGGCTTTTAGTGTGTGGCTTATTAATGCAACACAATTTCTAAGCAGCTAGTCTTGCAACAGTTCCTTCTTCATTTATTCACTTGCAAGCCAAAACATGATCCCTTTTTGAGATGTCAGTTTGTCTGAGATTGATTTGGATGTTGTTGGAGTCATCTAAATTTCTCTTAAACTCAGAAGTTTTTGCCTAACAAAATGCTGGAAGTTTTTACCTAGCTTCACTGAAGATAGTTAGAAGCTACCAGAGATTCCCTGGAAATGTGTCATTTAGTCAATTAATTATAATAAATCAACAGCTAAACAAAATTATCTTTAATGATGTTTAGGTTTTGTACATTCAAGTTTTTATTTCTATATGTGACACCTTCATTACAATGTTTTTGTTTTTGCCATTTCTAATATTAAACTGTTTTGATTGTACATACTCTTATCTCTTAACCCTTCAACTTATTGTGATGCAGTTAAATAGAAACACGAACCCATGAAAAGAAATGTAGCCCTTGTGAATCACTTTCCCCTCAGGTCTATCGCCTATAAGTTCTAATTACTACAGCTGAAATCTATAACTGGAATGTACAAGAAAACAAGTGAATTGATATAATCATGTTAGAGGTGACACCTAGTAAATTGGAAAGGGGGCTATAACATCACATATTTATTTCATTAGATACCACTTGGGAGAGTCAGTGGTATTCACATATCTCCCTAATCTCTAGCTAGGCCTTCTAAGTGGAAACTTAAAAAGGATGAGGTCCTTCAGTGAAAGTATACCTACGTTTTACTTCTCTGAGCATGTTGCCAGTCCATTGTTAACGATCCTTCATTAACAGGTTAAACTCTGCAACTAACTTTTGTAGCAATCTCTGTTAAGATTTAACAGGATAGAATCCAATAGACCTCAGTGGATTTTACTTCTGGTCACACCTACATAAGATGCAATCATACTCCTGAAAAGAATAATAATTAAGAAAATATCTTGAAGATGAGTAAGAGAGAGGACATGGGGCTTTTTCAAATTTACTTTACAAAATCTCTGTCCTTCTTTTATATTTCAGTGATACAGGAGTGCTATATACATGGGCTCTCCCTGTTAATCTCGTTTTAGAATTAGAAGCAGTATTCTTGTACAGCAATAAAGCATCCGAAAATACTGTTTTGCTTTATCTTCTCTCTGTTTGTAGTATCATATTTCTCATTGTAACACAACAATTTCGACTTTGGTTTCCCTCTTTATTTAAAGCTTTTCATATCCTGTTTTTCAGGCTAATCATCCTTTTTTGCAGGTATTCCTTTCACTGTTCAGAACAAATTTTTAAAACCTTTATACATGGAAATGCAGCATGGGCTGTAAATCTGAGCACTCAATTTTTTCTATTTTTAAAAGCAGGGTCTGATTTACTTATTATATATCAGGCTGGACTGTAAATTAAGCCAATGGTAGGCTACAGAGGAGATGGCTGATGTGATGCTGGGAACTATGAAGAAAGCGTCTCATGTTCCTGATCACAGAACTGGAAATACTGGCAGTGTCTTTGGGGGAGGAAAAGTCCATAATGAATGAATGTTGCTTAAGCAGGTTGCATAGAACAGCTTTCTTCAGTCTAGCTCCCCACAAATATGTTCAGCTGTGGATCTCATCATTTCCCGCCTGCAATGGCAATGCAGTTCCCACCACAGAAATGGTCAGGCTGGCTGGGAATGATGAGATTTGCAGTCAAACAGGTCTGGAGGGTAGCAGCCTGGGAAAGATGGATACCTGATTTTTCTGTAGCAGAAACACAAGCTGTACTAGACTGCTCCTACCAAGTGAGATTTTGCACAACTAGAGAGTTTTGCTGCCAAGCAGAAAATGCAGGTGATATCTGCCTGAACAGTGAAGATGCAGCTGTTATAGACCTGCTCAGAGCCTATCAAGATGATATCACATCTGTGCAGGCCACCTAAGGTCTCTACATAAGCACGGTGTTTGAACATTTCAATTCCACCCATCTCTTTGCTTGCTGCCTGGCATTGCCAGCTGGTAGGTGCACAGACAGCCTTTGCTAAATTGAATTGCTGGTTTTCACCATAGTCCCTTCCAGCTATGGGAATAGCATTAGCATCTTCTGGCATTAGCTGAAGCAATCTGCTTCTGTACCACAGCAGTTGAGTGGATTTAAAGAGTACTGATTTGTTTCCTAAATAACAGGACCTGTATGATCTAGTGGGTAGGATGTTTGACTTTGACCAGAGAACCCTAGATTTTGATCTGGATGCAGCTATGTAGATTGATGCAAACTACTGGGATATTACAGATTTACATGGCCACTTTCCGCATATAGCCCTCTTAAAGAAAGTCTGTATGTCCAAAAACTTCCTGTATGTCTCTAGAAGCCACAGATTCCCAGAACTGGTTATCAGAAGAACTACCATTGTCTTCCAAGAAGATTTTGTTTATTTGCTCCTTGAAGAACAGTTCTTTCATTGTTTGCTAACCATTATACGTGCCTTTTTTTCCTTTTTTGAGGGAAGAGCAAATAAATAATTTCCCCAACTGGTTTCCTTCCTTCTTTCTGCAACTTGCAGCTTTTGATGGCATTCCTCCTCCTAACTTCAGGCTGGAGAACAAGGAATACGGACAAAATTCCAGTCTTCTCTTTGCAAAAAATAAAGTGAAGTGCTGCTTCTCTCACAGTAGAAAAAAAGGCTATTCTTATAGGAGTCTAGAGCAAGGCTTTACAGCCACTACCAATATCTATGCCTGAGCCACAGTACCAGAAAGTTTGTATACATGAGGTTTGTCATTAAGAGGAATGATGCCTGAGCTGGTCATATACTTAATAACATTGTTGTGAGGTTAATTTGGGATAGCCCTGTGCATGCACCTGTACGCTTGATAAAAGAAGGATGGGACCTGTGCAAAAAAAATTAAAAATAGATTTCATGCAGTTCCTGTAGTCCAAGCTATTAGAATTCTGCTGTAGCTTTAGGTATTAGAACATGCATTCCCTTGTCATATTGTTCCAAAAGATTCTACCTTGTGCTTCCTGCCACTGCTATCATTTCACACTTACTCGTCTCATTTATCTCTCTAGAAGTGTTTGGTTTTTGTGCAAATTCTATGCAGTAAAGCCATGCCTTTCATAAGTGACAGGATCTCCGAAACGCTTTAACTTTGTGCTTCTAAGACAGGGGAATATGCCACAGATGAAGATGACGATGACATGGGCCCTGTCCTTCCAGGAGGTGATATGGCCATTGAAGTGTTTGAGCTCCCTGAAAATGATGACATGTTTTCCCCAACGGAACTGGATACCAGCAAACTGGCTCACAAATTCAAAGAGGTATGTTGGAGAGCCTGGAGTGAGTGAGTCTTCAGACAGTAGTATTGACTTAGGTCATTGTATTTTTCCTCTCTTTGAACCATTTAATTGATTTGCTACTGCCGTTTTAATCAATATATGTAAATTCTTTAAACAAGACTTCACTTCTTAAGACAAATTTTGCCAGTTCTTCTTAATGTCCATTGTGATGAGGCTAACGCTGTGCTGTTTTGACAGTGGTCCATAAACACGCTAATGCCAATTAATTGGAGTTGTTTTCCTAAAACTACTTAGTCACACTAATTTCAGTGGAATTAGCCAGGAGTAAGTTGTATACTGCTTACAGTTAAAGGAATTGTTATAAATTGGATGTATTGACACAGGTTAAATTCATCCTGCTGTCCTTTTTTCAGTTAAATTAATCATTACAGAACACTTGATTCTCCTAATTTGTTAAGTTTAATCAGAGACCACCAACTCTAATAATAATTATTTATTTTATTTATTCATTCATTTCCAGTATAATGCAGTAATTGTTCGGTATACCTGAATGTATAACCTCCAATTTTAAATTAAGATTAAGCCTGAAATTCAATGCAAGCTTTACTTGGGACTTTTCTGAACAAACATACATAGAATTGTTTTGGGCTTTTCCCTGTACTCTAAGCCTTATCTGCTACCTCAATAAACTCCACAATGATGCTATCTGGCGGTATTTCTTTAGGAATGATGGTTCATTGCAGAACTAAGCAGGTAACTAGTTATGTTCAAGTGAGGTACTGCAAGATGTGAACAAACTGCTGGCAGAATTCATGCTAACTATCTGCCTTTACATCTTCATCTATCCTTGTGAAATCTGCCAGACCTGATTTGCTTACTTGACGTTTACAATTGTAATTGCCTTCTTGGGTGATGATGAAGTCCCCACAGCTGGAAAGAAGCAGTGGTGAGGCCCTTGTGGAAATAACCAAATCTAGACCCTATCTTAACAGAAAACTAATGCCCAGTATCAAGTTTGCCATTCTTGGGCAAGGTGCCGGCATGTGCCAGCATGTGGTACCTCATAAAGCCAAGCAGTGTTGGATGCTACTGTTTATTTTGAAATATTTAAAGTAATGTAATTGGCTGCTCACTCTAGACATAGAACTGACGGATACTATATCTTAGCTTTCCTTCACATTCGTTGCATTTGCGAAGGAATATCCATGTACTCATCAAGTTAATTATGACCTGCAACAAACATACATTTTGTCCTATGTCAGGGTTAAGGAACTTGTGGTCCTCCAATTGCTGTTGGACTCCAGTTCCCATCATCCATTATCATTGCCTATGCTGGTAAGGCATAATGGGAGTTGCTCACCCATGCCCTGTGTAAACAAGGTGAAATATGTCTGCAAAAATAGATGGTTGTAGTTTTATCACAGGTAAAAATAGAAATGTGGGTTACATGGTAATTCTAAACAATTCCAATTTAGAATTGTTCCCTGAGGATGAAACTCTTTTTGTGTGGAGATGAGAGTAGTGCCTACATTTTGCAAAGCACACTACCAAAACGTGAAACAGTTTAGTATTGATTATTAGTTCAGAACTGATTAGTAGTACCTGGGAATAATTGGGATAGTACCTGGGGGAGGTAGTACTTGGAACAGACATTGGAGACTGACATCCAGAAGTTTGAGAGTCCACTGTGGACAGGTGCAACGAAGCTTTTGGGAAGCTCTTAGAATTGTTTGGTAGCACCTGAGTTGGTCTCTGTCTACTTTGTCCCCCTCAAAACCAGGGAATGGGTCCCATCTCTGTCCAGGTCTGTTATCAAGACTAGTGTAATGCTTCATTAATTGGACCTGTTTGCTTTTCTGTGCCTCTGATAATGAGACTAATATTCAGATTCTGTGGCATGTAGAAAGCCCAGGTTCAGTCTCTGGGACTACTGGGTGTGACTAGGAAAGGCTTCTGTGTCCAGGGAGGCTTACTTACCAGCAAGTTTGTTTAGGAATGCAGCTTGATAAAGCTTCCATTATTCTTTATTTTGGCTTCAGTTAGGGACATACATGCATGTTTATATTGTAAAACAACTTTCTCTTGCTCAAATACATCCTTTGTAATAACACAGACCTATTGATCCTGTTTGGACATTAAGTCAGTGTCCAGCAGAAATTCTTTGGTTTATTAATTAACACATCATTGCAGGGTGTGGGTAAACTGCTGCCAGTTTGAACAGCCCACAAACGCAGTATTTATAGGTTTTAATGACATCCGAACCAGGCTATTTGGCTTGTTGAACCCCAAATTAACCTGCCCCAAGTTAACCCTTGGTATGTTGGGTAAACTTGGGGTTGTTTAGCCCACAAACACTCCCAACTGAGGAAACAACTTAAAAGGCCACAGGAAACTGGAAGCAATGTGTGTGTAGCTCTTTGACTGCAAAGTTCCTGGGTTCATAACCACAAATTGCTGCTCAGCCCACTTGTTACATCTGGATGGTATGTTGGAAGGGACCTACTCAGTACAGACTCTGTATTTCAGGATGCAGGTAAGGCATCCCTGACAGATAACCTGACTACTTGCCTACCTTGCTAGTTGTAATAATTTAATGCAATTAAGTTTGTATGATTTTTTTGTTATTAGCTACAGTGCCTTGCAGATATATTCATACACACTGCCTTTGACTTTTACATATTTTGTTGTATTACAACCTGGAATGGGTTTAACTGGCATTGTTACCACTTGATGTACTCAAGGCACTCAGCACAGTGAAGGTGCAAAACATTTTTATTGTGACACAAAAGTGAAGCAGACAAAAGCAAACTGGTACTTGTTGCTTGTACCCACCTCCTTTACTGCGACATGGCCAAATAAGCTGTGGTGCAACCCACTGGTTCCAGGAGTCATATATTGTTGAGTAGTTGAATGGAGTCCAGCATGTGTACAATTTCAGTGCCACATGATTTCACATTAAAGATGTGTGTTTCTGAAGGTCCCAGAATTTGTTGGACAGGATAGCTAAAGAAAGAGCAACATAAAAACCAAGGAGCTATTAAACCAATTTTGAGAATAAAGGTTTGCAGAAGCACTAATCAGAGCTATAAAAATTGTCCCAGACTACAATATGAAAATTTCCCATGGCACTGTCAGAGTCATTATTACAAAGTAGAAAGGATGTGACTAAACCATGAATCTGCCCAGAAAAGGCCACCCACCAAAACTTGATGACCAGGTAAAGAGGGCATTAGTCAGAGAAGCAACCAGCAAGTCAGTGGTGACTCCGGAGCAGCTGAGATGGGAGACAGCTGTCCCGAAACAGGGCTTTATGGAAGAATGCAAGGAAAAAACAAAACAAAACCATTCCTGTAACAAACCTGTAGAAGATGGTTCTGTGGTTCCAAGCTGTACTTTCTGGCTACAAGACACTATGTGTGACCCAAAACTAACAGTACTCATTTCCCTGAGAATATCATCCCTATAATGCACCCTGGCAGTTGACAGCATCATGTTGTGGGGTGCGGCTTCCAGCATACCTTTTCTCCATAACAATTTTCTCCATTCCTTACTGCAGCAGGGAAAGGAAGGAAACATAAGCATGAAGAGCATTGCAGAGAAGTGGTAACAACTTTAGACTCCCTAGGTCCAGGGGGAAAAGAGTATGCTCTGCATAGATTCAGCAAGTTAATCTGTCTCTGTGTATACAAAATGTGGACATCAAATCTGTGTACATAGGAAGGGGTTATGACTGCCCCTTGAGACAGTCGATGCATCACTGTGTGTGCATATATATGTACATGTGTAGCTGCTTACTGGAGAAATGATTCCCCTGTACCTCCTGTTGTAATCCCAGTTTTTATTTTAGAGCTAGGCAATAGAATTTCCCTCTAGACTGATCCAGTACCCATCCTGAAAAGCACTTTCCAGCCAAGGTGGGAGTTTCTATCACAGGGGTTCCAAAAATCAGTTCAGGGAAAACCTTGTATCTTTGCATCTTCTTGCTCAGGTTGAAGTCCCCCAACTGTAGGCTGAGGCTCACATAAGCTTCCCTTTATGGTTATAGTATATGTGTGCGTGTGCCATTTCTCTGTGATGCGAAAGCCTTTTAGTAGCCTGTTTCTGTGTTATCTGCCCTCTGTGACATGTCTGCTTAATCTGTGCAGCGAGGCTTTCTAAGAATATTGGTGTGCAGTGGGACATTCAAATCCAGGCAGGCTAACAAACGGAGCACGACAGTTGGTATTTCCTTCTCCTCCAAGACATTTTACTTGTCCAGGCAGATTGGATATCCTAATCTGATATTCTGAGAGACCGGCCAGCAACACTTTTTCCTTAATTAACTTGCATAGACTGAGTCATTTTCCAAGCTAGATATTTTAATTTACAGTCTACTGCACTGCAGCACTTTTGTGGGCCTTCTGCTGTGTGTGTACAACAGTATTCAGGTGGCAGCATAGAAATCTTTTTTGCTAAAAGAAAATACTGGAGCAGTGGCATTTGCAGCTCACTTGTTCGCTTTGTGGTTTTGCATTTACAGTTGCAAATCAAGCATGCAGTTACAGAAGCTGAGATTCAGAAGCTGAAAACAAAGGTAAGGATGATTAGTGGCTATTAGACACCAGTTTTCTTATTTTCAGCTGCTATAGGCTATATCCAAAGCAAGAAAAAGAAAACTTCTTGTTGAGAAAACACGATAGAGAAAGCACTATGTGCAGTAGCTCAGGAAAGCTTGTTTTGGTAGAAACAGCTCAGTGAGCCCCGGTGAGAACAGGAGGAGTATTGTTAGAAGGAAAATAGCTGCAACGACATAATAAATTTTTATTCCTTTCTCACATTGTTAGATCTCTAACAAGCTTAAGAAAAAATGATAAAGTGGTCTCTTTTCCTATTTAGGAGATTTTGCTGCCTTAGTTCTAAGAGGCAGCACAGAGTATATTTTTTATTTTAAAATAGGATGAGGCACTTAACTGAAGCTGATTTTTAGAAATGCTATTTATAACTTACATAAACCAGTTTGTTATGTTAATTAGCTTGTCGTACTCTGTATGAGGCAATGATTTGTCATATTTTGAAAATGTTCTGATACATTTCAGAATTAAATCTGTTTCACTTAATCTGCCTTGCTGAATTCAGAGGATCCTTCTTCTTGCTAATTAAGTTATAAATACAAGTTGTTCTTTTTAAACTATGAATGAAAGTGTGATATTTATTTCATTGATGATGTTTGAGAGAATAGTCTTCAAGAACTGATTTAAAAGGAAATAATAGCACTATTCATTTTTTTCTATTATGATTTTCCCCTTTGATTCATTTTAAAAATGTAGAAATCTCTGTGCTAGATTAAGGTTTGATATAATAATATAATTCCACATGTGTGAAATCTGGTACCCATTGAAAATCTGATTGTCTTCAAAGCTTGTTGCATTTGGCTAACCATTCATTTTCGCTTTGTAATACAGAAGTCATTGCTGTAATTTCTGCATTCTCATTCCATACTCCCCCACAATTTTAAGAAAACTGTATATCTGCTTTCTCTGGATTGTGCTTTCTTAAGAGCAGTACAACAACTTTTAAATGTATTTTCTTCCTTATGATTTTACCCCTTATTCAGAAGCAAATACTGAACATGCACTGTTAGATAACTGGTAATTTAAAACTAGAACCAAGTTTTATTTCCAGAGAATGAGAAAATTTAAATGCAATGTTTAAATCCATAGTTTAGTTCTCAGTAGTTATTACGCAGACCCAAGTTATTACACAGAACCATGTATCTATCCATACGAATTACTTATGCGCATCATAGATGTCACAATTCCTTTTATTTCATCTTCATAAGGCTATGTTTTATTTTGTTTTGTTTATTTAAACAGCTCCATCCTGCTTTTCAGGGTGATAGAGGCCTCTCAGGTAGAGCCTTGTAATTTTTTAAAAATCATACCATAAAGTTAAAACAGAGTGAAATAGATTTACAGTAAGAATGATACGCAATTCAATGAAAAAGCCAGCAGTTACAACAGCAGCATCAGTTTAAACTTATTACTTCTATACAAGGACCAGCCTCACGTTAGCCAATGAAAAGCAGCTGAAAACATCCTGGTCTTTAGCTACCGTTTTAAAACAGCCAGTGAGGGAGCCAGGCACATCTCCCACAGGTGCCAGAGCAGTGGGTCCACCACAGAAAGATTCCGGATTCTTCTGCCCAGCAGTCTGATAAACATTACTGGTTGAGCAGGGCCTCCACAGCCAGTCTTTGGGCTTGGCCAGATTCAAACTGGTTTAGCTATTTGAACTTTTGAAGGTAAGCACCAGCATTTTAAATTAGGTCCAGATATGCACTGATACACATTATAAAATCTTGAAAAATATGAACAATTTTATTTTCTCCATTTTAAAATCAAGCTGCAGTGGATGTTCAGTGGAAAAGTATACATTTAAAATATTGATTTTGCCTTAATCAGCATGCTCTAGAATATTTATTAGTGCTTTAAGTTAAAGTGATCTAGTAGCTGTTTAGGGCTCCACATTATTACCGCTTTGAACATTAGTTTACACATACAAGTAGCAATAATAGTAGACTGCTATTCCCTGCATCCACATTTCCAAACAAGTGAACCTGGATTTAAAAGCCTTTGTCTTACTCTGTCTAGTTACAGACGGCTGAGAATGAAAAAGTAAGGTGGGAGCTGGAAAAAAACCAGCTTCAGCAAAACATTGAGGAGAACAAGGACAGGATGATGAAACTCGAGAGCTACTGGATTGAGGCACAGACCCTTTGCCATACTGTCAACGAACATCTGAAGGAAACCCAGAGCCAGTATCAGGCCCTGGAGAAGAAATACAACAAAGCAAAGAAACTGATTAAGGACTTTCAGCAAAAGTAAGCAGCAACTACACACGGAGACATTAGCTCAAGCTCTAATTTCACTCTGTGCATGCAGTTAGCCAGTGTGCTGCTGTGGTTGGACTCAGACCGGAGAGACCCAGTAGCTTCACTATGAAACTGAGCTCCTGGCCTAAGATCAGCGGGTATCTTTCAACCCACTCCTGATTTTTAATGACCATAAAAGGCACGGATGAGCCATGTACACCTGCGGTTTCCAGTGTGTTATCTGTTGGGTACACATGTCCCTGCAAACACCTGTCAGGGTACTATCCAAGTTCCCTGTCACTCCTCATTTTGATCTTAGTTTGATCTTTTGATCTTAGTTTAAATATACAATAATAATGATTATGATGATGGTAATAATTGAAAGGCTGGTCAAATAAAATGTCAGCATCTAGCATCTTTATGTCAAGAATAGTTCTGGGCACTAGCATCAGTAGCTTGCTTTCCATGAAAGGACTGATGAAGCCCAGAGATACAGGGTCAAAAGAATGTCATTGTATTTTGGAACTTGGACCCCCCCTCTGCCTTTTACTTGCTCAACAGCCTACATACCATTTCATTTAGTTTACCTCCTGTAGTTGGTGATTTCTTTACTTATGCATGCACAAATTTCTATGCCACCCATAACCTTCCTAGGTAGCTTACAGCAACATATTAAGCATATATACAAATAACATGTTAAAACACATTAAAACAATTAAAAGATTAAAACATCAATATAACAATAATATAAAAAGACCACCATCACAGGGCTAAATATTATTTTTTAAGTAAAGTTGTTGCCTCTTGTTACCAACTTCATTCATTGTGGCAGCCATTTTGTAAATAACCACAACCATTAGACTGCCTAGCAGTTGGGTTTTAAGGGTCCATGAGTTCCAAGGTGGTCAGCACAAACAGGGAACAGGCAAAAAGCAAGAAGTCAGCAATCTAGATGAGGCAAACCTGTTCCAAGGCAGCACAACCAATAAGGAGCAGTCAGAAAGAGAACCAAAATCCAGTCCCAATAACATGCAACAAGGCCACATAAAAGAGGAACAGCTGCTAGAAGGTCAGGTCAGAACAAAACTGCTCATACCAGGTATTGGTCAAGACAAAGGGGGTAGAACTCAGGAAGGTTTGGTCTGCATCATTCATAGCTGGTGCCTCCATTTTACCCTGCTGTTTCTATGCAGTGGCTGTGGGAGTCAGCCCCAAGCTTCCAGTATGAGCTGTCTGTGGCAGCAGCTGAAATGGCACCCACTTGTGAGCAAGTCTCCTGTGTGCAAGTAGACCTTCTCTCAGCCTAATATTCCTTCTGTGTTTTAGACAGTGCCTCTCAAGGGCTGAGGGATTCTTTGTTACTACCTCTGAAGCAGAGGCCTTGTCCAGGTGGTCTCATGTGGGCCCAGTCTCCTGATCCACATGCGGATCCTGGGCATTGCTGGTGATGGGTGGGATCTGATCCTCCAGCTCCTCCTTCAGAGGGGAGTGTTCCAGTGGGAGTGTGACTCTCTCACTACTCCACATGTGCCCACTGACCCAAAAAGGAAACTACCCTGAGAGCAGAATAGAAATGCTATGTAACACCTAACTGATTTTGTTTTTTGTTTTGTTTTGTTTTTTTTGCTTTAATACCAGTGTGCTGCAAAAGGGTCTGAAGGGAATATCAAAAAATTGGGTTGCTGTGTGGATTGCATCCACCACTCTGTGTGGGCACTTCTCCCTGCACTTCTCTTTCACTGTTTTCTGGGAGCTGATAAAGAATTTATATGCACATATATCTTGGACTGTTGAGTCTGATGTGCTTTCCATTTTAATTAAAACAACAACCAGGAGTCCCACCTATCAGAGGCTTGGGAAATACTGAGATAGAAAATCTAGAAATCATACAGCATTTTCTGTAATACAAATGTATTTTAAAAGGCCTCTAATATGAACATCATTTCCCACTTTACTACTATCAAAATATTGAGCTCTTTATTGACCTGCAATAGGGCATAGTGTACATGTGACTTAGTATTGTGACTGTAGAGTGTTGTCCAAGACTTCTAAATGATAGTATACAATGGCATAAACTTTTAACAGTGGTGCAGTCACATAGATTTTTTTCTACACAAGGTTGTTAATCTGGTCTGTCAACTTTCTATTTCTCTCAGAATCAAGATCTGAGCACCACACAAAGTGTATTCCTTCCCTACTTCCTGTTTCATAATCTCCAGGTGGTCCCATGGTATGGCAGAATAGTGTAATTACACAAGTGGGAAAAGAGCTTCCTTTTCACTTTCACAAATGTTGCATTTCCCCCACCCTAATTTAAAAACAGAAGTGCAATTGGAGGGTCATGACAAAATATCTAAAGAACCCACAAATAACACGAGTAGGGAACGACCAGCAGACAATAAATGCCACCTGTAGAAAATATCACTGATTTTGGGGATTTAATGTCTTGTTGCAGCACTTAAATAATGTCATTTTAAATAAAAGCTATAAATGTATAACAATACATAGTGAATATTTGGAAAATGCTGTTTAATGTTATACTTTAAGTGATAAAAGAAGATGCACTAAAAGGAAGGAATCGAAAGAAGATCACAGCTATAGTATCTCTCACCAGCATAAAGACTTCTAAACTTATGCAGTAGACTTTTAATAGCATGCATTGAGTTTCTCCATTTCCACTGTGGTGATTACTAAGTTTTCATAGAGCAAGCCAGAAGTAATTTAGGCTAATCTTTTTCCAAGCAAGTTTCCTCTTGCTCATTTAAATATTATAGTATTTCTCCTTTTTGCAATGATATATTCATTGTTATACAATCAGTATGAAATACCTTAGAAACATAAATATCTTTTCCAAATATATGTAATATTAAAATGCTTTACATCAGTAAATTGTTTCAATACCTGTTTCGATCCAGTTTATTCTAACCAAAAATGTGTTTCTTCCCTGAAGAGAACTTGAGTTTATCAAGCGTCAAGAAGCTGAAAGAAAAAAAATAGAAGATCTGGAGAAGGCCCACTTTGTAGAAGTTCAAGGGTTACAAGCTCGTGTAAGTAATTTTCATTGCATTTCTTTGGAAATGTTGTTAGCTGTCTTACAGTTTCTAGAGAGGAAGATTATAAATGTTTTAAATAAACAGTACTATACTGCATGGAAAATATCCCTGCTTTGGAAAAGAGTAACATGAAGTAGCCCTCAGCTTATAGAATATATTTGGCCCTAAACAGTTTGCATTGCAGTGCTTCTGTCTGTTGACATGAAAGGAAATATTACAGATTTTACCTAATGCTTGACTGTATTTCTCCTAGATTAGAGAACTGGAAACTGAAGTTTTCAGACTACTAAAGCAAAATGGGAGTCAAGTTAACAATAACAACAACATTTTTGAAAAGCAGACATCCATTGGAGAAGTCTCAAGAGCAGATGCAATGGAAAACCTTGATACAAAGCAAGTGTCTTGCCTGGATGCCTTAAGTCAAGGTTTGTTTGAAACTGATAATAAATTTGATAATTGTGCTGTTTCTGTGTGATGTAGTTGTGGTGACATCAACATTTTCAGAAATGTAATACAATGTTGTGTTGACCCAGCTCAAGTACTGTCAAATAGGACTCTGTCACAACATCTGTAAGGTATATGAAAGAGCTTGTGTTCCGTTCAGTTTGAGCCCCATTCAGTGTGTCTATTGTGCTAATAAAAAGTTTAAGAAATAGTGTGTGTGTTCTTTTATATAGTCTGTATCTGTTTTTGTATAGGAATAGTGTGAGGCCCATGTTTAGTAGTGGCATCTTCAGAGGTGGCCTTCCTACATATGTGTAGTTCATTGCCTGTACACATGCTGGTAAGCCAGCGTTCGTTGTAGCTTGCTGGTGTATGCCTCATGAACATGCTGGTGAAATATGCAGACATGGCCACTGCCTGCTGTTTCCCACACAGAGATTCCTTTCCATATCAATAATGCACGTGTGTGAACTCCCTCTTTTGTACTTACCTATGTCACCAAGTTAAAATTCCTGATACTTCTGGGATTCAACAGTACCATGAACAGACATTAGGAAATGTGTGGTATCAAAGATTAATTTTTGATAACTATTTTTCCTGTATTGTTTATTATTATATTACATATATATCCTGCCTTTTTTTCCTCCTGCAAGGAACCCTGGACAGCTTAGACAGTTGTCTGTCTTATCCTCACAACAGCAGCCCTATGGTTTAGTTTAGACTGAGAGTGAATGACTGACCTGAAGTCACACAGTAAGTTTCATGGCAGACTGAGGATTGGAGCCCAGATCACCTGACCACCACATCACACTGGCTCACCATGCCCAATATGCAAAATACTGAAAAACAGAAGTTACCTATCTGGTTGAAATGATTCTTGGGTAATAAATGCACATTTATTTTTTAGCTCTGTGGTAACTCTCGAGCACTTCCCGAGTCATTATACCATTATCTAACCTGGGCAGAAAGCATAAGTTCTTAAGCATCTGACTAGAAGCAGAAAGTACCTAATTTGGCCTCTACTTTGCAAAAAATACACAGTTCATTAAGATTTGTAGAAGAGTTTGGCAGTTGGTCTTTCCCTTGTAGGTTTGATAATAGTTTTCTGATCTATTTGTGCACAGGAATGTGAGAAGGTGGTAATCATCAGGGACTGTATTATGCATTAAAGGCATTATTTATCTAGAAGGAATTGTCATGTGCTGAGGTCTTTTACGTGTGTGTGACATGATTTGTGGCTTTTTTAAAGTGATCCTGTGAGTTTTGCTAGAACTGTCAACTATCTGGTTAAGGATTCAAGAAAAGAATCCTACATTCTTGGGAAATAGAGCTCCCATTAGTTTGGCTGTTTCTATTCTGTTCTGATATTTCTATGCCCCTGTGCTCACACAATGAGTTCCAGAAGTAATACCACAAGCACCACCTAATATGTGAAAGTAAATTTAGATTTAATTTCATCCTCTGTTTAGCATGTCAACTTTAGATTTTATAGTGTGGCATAGCATGGTTAAATCTGTATTTTAGTGCTCCATGAGTTAAAGGGTTTGAACAACTGTGTCTTTCAGGTGTATTTGCAAACAAAAGAGAAAAAAATGTCTTTAGATAGGGCAAAATTTTATATCTATTTAATCTTTCTCATAAGGAACACAGTATTTGATACAGTATTGAGAAAAGTTCTCACTGTAACTACAGAGTGCTGCAATGAACTGCAAGTACTTCAATGAAAAAACTCTAGTTTTTATAAACTGCATTGTGTAACTAAATTAGTTAGGTTTTATCCTAGGAGTTCTGACCAATTCTTAAATTTATTTTGTTTTCTGCATCAGTTTGACTTGTGTTGAAAAAGCAAGCTTTTTCAACACAAGGCATTTATTGTGCCCTTGTGATTCCTTACTCATGGTTGTTTACAGGTCCTTTAGATGATATCATGATTCCCTAGTGTTGTGTCTGTATTTTAAGAGCACTTTCTGGGTGGCAGATACAGAGTGGGGAAAATGGGCTTTTCTTTCTAAAAGCGAGATAAGTGCTTCTGGATTTGTGTTATTCGGCTGTAGACAAATGGAATAGAAGAAGGCTGTACAAAGCTCGGATCTCAACTCTGCAACAAAGCAGAATGTTGATAAAACAGATTAGCAGCCGTGTGTGTAAAACCATTGTAGAAAAGCTAAAGTATACATTGCCTTCAGAGAACGCAACTAATGTTTATCTGCATCACACCAAGTCTGCCTGAGATTGTACCCATGCCTTCTATATAATTGCTGTTGCTGTAGCGTCCAACCAGTTTTAATTAGATTATGAGTCCCCGGGGTGTTGGCCGCCTGTCTCAGGGTGCAGTCCTTGAGGGTTGACACCCACTCCGTAGGGGTCTCTGCGCGCTCTGTCTAGCCTAAGCTTTGCCAGCAAGACTCAGGCGGGGAGGGGGGGATATGGCAGGAGCTTTTATGGCGTCTCCACCCATTGTGCATTTTGTGCTAGTTGAGTCTCTGAGCCCATCTAGCTGATCAACTCCCTGGCTATAGGTGAAGACAGGATTTGAGAGGGTTCTAGTTCAAACAGATCCACATCCTCTCTCCTCCCTTCTTTTTCCTCCCTACCCCATAGCACCAATTTCCTTCTTTTCCAAAGTTGCAACATGGACACACAGCTCAGGTAGAAGGTAAATCCTCAGTGTTTTATAGTCCTTCAGGAAATGCCTAAGATTCATTTGATTGCTCTCTGGACAAGACGTATATTGTGCGTGTGTGATCATTGAAGTTGGCTCATTTTTTTCAGGGCGTCATCCTCCAGGGCCTGTCCCAACTCCCCCTGCCTCCACTTTTGGAGTGAGGAAAGTCCACTATTAAAATTCATCTGCTCTGCCAGCAGCAGATGGAAGAAATTACGGTTTCTTGAACCAGTTTTGTTGTTAATTCAGTGGTCCATACATTTTACATTAAGAAACTTGGAAGTGAATGCTGTGAAATAGTATGCTTTCATTCATTTTGTTGGTTAATTATAAAGCATCTTCCTTTGTTGCTTCTATTTAAAGCACTGTTGTGCAGAAAATAAACTTCAGAGATGGCAATCTCTGAAAACAGAAGGTGGAAGCAAAGTATCAACTTGGGCAGCAGTCCAAAGAAACTTTGTGCCTGATTTCTGTTCATTTTATTTTTGTGACACTGATTTGCAGAACTGCCAGGCTTCTTTCTGAACTTCCCAACACTCAGAAAGTCCTTTTTAGACTTTGCATTTTAAAGAGAACTGAGGTGGTGTGTGGATGTGTGAGTTTTGTATTTAGTTTCCTTAGAGTTTTCTACATGAAAAGCCCCAAACTACTTCTTGAGTGAGGGATGATTTAAAAGGTAATTGGGGTGAGAAGTGAGACATTTTTGTATAGGAACTTCTGCAGGGACATTGCATGTGTAGACAAAATACACACACATATCCTTCTTACACATACATAGTCTTGGTTTCAGATCTCCTGTCCCCATTTTGTTGCTGCTGTATCAACACAGATCTGAGTGAAATACTCACTTTGCAAGCTGAGTTAATACGTATTAACCTATTGCATTTGGTCTTGAATCCTCTTTGACTATAAATAATTGCTCCAACATAATTGTCTTCAGCAGTTAATGCTCTCCTGCCCCTTCTTTTAAATTGAAATCCTGGCTAAGTGCTCTTTGTGAGACATTAAGGCTATTATTGTTTGAAACACCTTACAAAGATGTTTTGAACTCCAGTAACCATAGTGACAAAAGGGTACCTACTGACTGCAGTCGTACAAGCAGTGGTCAGAGTCTCAGCTGACTTTATTCAGTGTATTTTTATCCCACTTTCCAGACAATTACAGTTCTCCAAAGCAGCTCAAAGAGTGGCAAGACCCTGTCAGTACACTTACTGACTAAAAAACGACATGTAAGGAAAGGGGAGCAGTGGGGAAAGTGGGGAGTTCAGCTGTTCAAGGCCAGAATAAAATAGTGAGCTCTAAGTTGTCATTTGTATCCAGTTTAAGCCAGGCTGACCTTCCGTTGATGGGGTTCTTCCTGGAATAGCCTTTGATGACTCTTGTTCTTTAGCCAGTGGATTGACTCTGGTCCCAGCGATACGGACACTGCAACCATGTTAATGCTCTACTTGATCTCTGCACTCTTCAGCTTACTTAAGCATAATCCTGTGCATTTCCTACAAACCCTAGCATTGGATCGTGCCATTAGTTACTGTATCTATATCAGCTTCATCTAGGTTCGTTTTTATGGGAGTGAAAGGAAGCCTACTTATAGAAGCCTGCTTATGGCCATTTCTTACAGAGTGCTTTTGCTTTACAAACCACATCGCGATTTGTCTAATTTTTAAAATAGAGCAATGGGGGCAGCATTTGATCAGGACTAGAGCTGTCGTGAGCGAGTGCAGCTATGTTTTCCTGACTAAAATTACCTTTTTCTCAGGAGCTGAGATCTGCTGTGAGCGGGAAGCTTCCTTTGGCAGGACCATAGCATGAGGGCAAGGGTTAACTTAACCCCTGTTTACACGCATACATGCACATACACACGCATACAATTACACTGCAGTCTGAAGCTCAGATCTTCCTGGACTGCTCAACACGATCATGCAAATCACATATTGAGTTTGGCTCTTAGGTTGGTTTTATATGCATTAACTGCCATGGGATGCTGAAAAATGCTGGGAACTGTGGTTTGGTGCAGACTCTGTTAAAAGATCCCAAGACTCCCTCTCGGGACTACAGCTTTTAGATTCTCGGAAGAAAAGAAATTACTTCTTGCTGGGAGATACAACCTGGAGACTGTTATCGTACTCGTGATTGGCTTTTGAGCCTTCCCTGGTATTTCTGTTGGCCACAAGGTAACCACAATGCTGGGCTGGGTAGGCCTTTGTTCAGATCCAGTATGTCTCTCATGTTTTTATGACTGCTAAGCCCATGTATACCTAACTTTCTGGCTTCGATGAAAGTCTATTTTGGTCGTTCATGGCGCTATCCTTTGCCTGCTTAGATAGAAAAAGGGCCTACAACTCCCAGCATGTGAGGATTCCATTTGTGGGTGAGCATCCTTCAGGTTCTCTGGGCTCAGTTTCTACAAACTTCAGTCCATTGCAAGAGCCCTGAGTCTGAATTCCTGGTGAGCACTTGCCAGGAATCAAGCCTCATGTGCTGCACAAGCAGCATTCCTCTTCCATGCCACCTGCAGCAACCATTTGGGCTGATGCACCTATTGCAGAAGAACCTCTCTTCTTCCTATGCCCGGTTCCAGATCTGAGGTCTATGCTATTTACATTTAAACTTCATTTGCACAATGGGTAATTGCATGAAGGGGGTCACATTTCCCTTGGTCCCTTGTGGTTGATGTGCTGAAGAAGGTTGATTGTACAAGGCTCACAAGGAATGGAGTCCTGTGCTACCACTACACAAGCATTGCCCTTGTGCCACACCACCTGCAGCAGCCATTTGGAAGATGGTTGCTGGTTGTGTAGTCTTCATTCTGCAAGTGTTGCTGACTCCCGCTTAGTTTTGCTCACTTTGCAAGAATGGACCAAGTACAAGGGGAAGCCTGTGAATGCCAGAGGGGCAGATTCCACTTCAACCTTTACATCATTATAGAAGTAATAACAACTAGCAATACCAATTGCTTCTTTTTGCTGCTGCCATTGTAGTTCATGTTTTGTGGGAAGAGCCTAACAACTGACACAAGAACTGATTTTTCAGAACATTCCAGTTCCGTCTTTCCTGCAGGCATTAGTGTTCTGAACAAAATTGATGGTCTTAAATCTTGAGCCTTCTTAAACACATTTACCTGCTGCAAAGGAGCCATGGCATATCCCAGCATGCATAGATTGACTAAACTTCCCAGAAGTTGTGATTTAGCCAAAGAGGATATTGTATACTGATTTTAATGATTGTAAGCTGTCCTGAGATGCCATGCATAAGGGACGGCATGTAAAAGTTTTAAATAAACAAATGTACAGCCCTCACTGATCTACCCAAGACTATTGCCCCAATGCATCTCTAGTTCACTGTTCTTCAGCACTTAATTGCTCCTCCCTGTCGCAACTTTTATATTTTGCATTTCCCCAAAGCTTATGACTTCACCTCTTTCAGTGTTTCTCCATATAAACCTCCTAAAAATGGTAAAATAAAAACATAACACCCACCCCTACAATAAACAAACAAACAAAGCCCAACGTCTTATATTACATAAGATTATGGGGATATTGCTGGTTGTGGTTTGTGAGTACAGAGGAAGCAAACATACTCAGAGAGAGAATGGTCTTCTATCAGAAAACCAGATTCTCCCTTAATGCAGTTAGGACACCTGGGAGAGATCCAGTGCTACCATGCACCACATAACCATTGTGTTTTCAGTAAACCACTATGGTCATGGACTCCACACAACCATTGTGTTTTCAATAAACCATTGTATATTGAACTCATGTCACAAAGGGTGTGTTGACTTCTAATATGTGAGTTCTGCATTGCCACCCTGTGCCCAGTTAGTTGTGAGTAAGCCCCATTGAGTTATGCTCAAGTCAACATATACAGGATTGGGCTGTTAGGTCCAGATCATAACTCAGACATCAGCAAGAGTAAATACAAGTTATTTTACCCATGGGCATTTTGCCACTGAATAATAACGGACTGGATTTGAACAGTCATGCTTTTGGAAGCTGCCTTATCCTCACTTAGCCCATTGAGTCATCTACCCCAGAACTATTGATGCTTCATATCTCCTGCATTTGAAACAAGATTCTTTCCTAGGCCTACAGGGAGAAGTCGGGATTTGAAACTTGTACCTTTTGCATGCAGAGCCTATCCTATACCATTGAGCGTCAACCCCTCCAATTGATAGTGATTCAGACCAGGAGTCCAGCACAACATTTTTGACACTGTCTGGCACCAGCTCTCCAGATTTCAG